AATGCCCTTCAGAAGACCAGAAACCTGATCATGTACAAGCACATGAACCTTCCAGTCAAGGACTCCATCAAAATGAGAGTGAGTGAGCTACAGTTGTACTACAAAAAGATGGAAGGAGAAGATGAGGAAAAGATGGTGGAAAAGCTATGGAAGGAGAAAGAGTGGCACAGACTGTTCAGGGGTAGATCTTCAAAGAAGATAATAATGATGATAAAGAGACCAACAATGCTGAGAGGGAAGAAGATGATGAGAAAGACAGGGATTTGGGGGTTGTAGAGATGTGAAGGCACTGGGAAAAGAAAGAAACGGGTTGTCAGGGGTGGGGAGCAGGAGCAGGAGCGAGGGGGGATGCAGAGGCCATTTGCTCAATTGTAATAGTTAAAGGAGATGGCAATGGGCATGCAAGTGCATGGGGGCATGGGTGCACAGATGTGCAGTTGCATTTATTGTAACAGGGATGATGAGTGTCAACTGTGGATATGTGTTACAGACTGTTAAATGAACCATGTCGGTCATGAGACAGAACAGCAAAGGTTTAGCAGGGTGTGTGTGTGTGTGTGTGTGCGTGCGCGCAAAAAAAATAGTTTGTACTATATATAAATGAGTACCAAAATGCTGCCTAAAAGTCTGCTTATGGAGTACCTGTGCTAAACTTGTAGCAGTTTCATAAAAGGAAAAGTGCATCAATTCTCAATGAACTAAGTCTATGGGTACTATATTTAAATTACTACAGCTATGTTTAATTTCAAGGTCAGAATTTTTAATTTTGCACGTCACTCCATGTGTTCAGGGGAAGCAGGGTCTAATAGTAAAGCAGGGGCTGCAGGGGGAAGAAGTTGGGGAGAGGCAGAGGGGCTACCTGACCCCTCAGATTTATTTTTCCTGATGTAGCAGTGGGAGGAGGACAAATTCAAGACACATCTCCAATAGTTGAGTCTATACTTAGAAAATTATAACAAACTTATAAATTTTCTATATATAAAATCTAATTATTGGAGGGTCGTCTTATAATCTGAGTCATCTTCTATTTGTGTAAATATGGTAAACAATAACTCACTATTTACTTTCTCTGGACAATTTATTTTGTAGACTTCTATCATGTCCCCCCAACCCCGAGCATCTCTATTCTAAGCTGAAAAGTCTTAGCCTTAGCTTTTCTTTATACAGAAGCCACTCTATAGATCTGATTATCTTTGTACTTTTTCCATTTTTTATTTATCTTTTTTGAGGTATAGAGACCAAACCTAACAATATTCAAGGTCCCCTCTGGAGCCTTTTTTAAAGATTGGAGTTACACTGGCAACCCTCCAGTCCTTTGGTATTCTACTGACTTGTCCTCTAGGAGGAATGTCTCTGGTGAAAGATTCTCTCCAGCATCTTCCACAGTTAAAGACTGATGTAAAGAATTCATTAAGTTTCTCAGTAATGGCCTTGTTCTCTCTTAGTGCTCCTTTTATACCCTGATAACCCAGTGGCCCAAGTGCCTTTCTTGAAGGCTTTGTCCTTCTAATGTACTTAAATTGTAATTTTTATTTATGAAGCAAATTACATATATGTTTGTATGCATGTATGTATGCACGCATGCATGTTTGCATTAAATGTGTATGCCTCTGTATGTACATTTTTTAAATTTTAAAATAATGACTTGCTTAGAAATAGTAAGACAAGGTTCTTTGGGTGAATCTGATATCTTTTATTAGAACAACTTAAATAGTTGGGTAAAAAAATTTTAACAAATTTTCGGGTTAACAACCCTTCATCAGGCTGAGGAAGCCTCTGCAGTTGATGTATCTTCCTCAGTCTGATGAAGGGGTTTTAAACCTGAAAGCTTGCTAAAAAAAAATTTCCAGCTATTTAAATTGGTCTAATAAAAGATATTAAATGCAGCCACAGAACCTAGTCTGCCTATGTCCTTAGACCAACATGGCTACAACCTACGCCCCTTAGGAACAGTAAGTGATACATCGCCCAAGGAAAAGGACCAAATTCATCAGAAAGCACATTATAAAAGTAAAACTACTATTTATTTGATACGGTTGCTATCTCTTTTGTTTTCTTTGTAATGCCTTTATTCTGTATATTGGTGCCTTAGAGTAAATGATACCAAGATTCCACACCAGTGACAGACATTGACAGAGTTGATTGTTCTCTTAGTCTCCATGATAGCTGCTTCTTCCAGGCTATGACTGGATGTTAATGTCAACATAGAATATTGTGTTCCTACTGTCATTGCTTACTTGGGAGGATAAATATAATTTTGCACAACTCACCAGTTTTAACTGATAGAAAAGAATCAATTGGGAAGTGAATAGTGGTGGAACTGGGAGCAGAGTGATAGGGGCAACTGTCCCAGCCGCTGACTGGGGGATGGTGGTAGGTAGGGAGCGAAAAAAACAGTTGCTTCTAGTAGCCACACATTCTCAATTATGAACTGGAAGTCACTGCCACCTCTTTGCCCTAGGTGCCTGGCTGCATCTCTATACTGTGATATGATGTGACATATAGATAGATAGATAGATAGATCTATGTCTATATATATGTTATATAATGTAATATCTAACAAATAAGTTATGTCATTTTGCATGCACATTTACCTATACAGACACACAGATACATGTAGGTAATATGATTGCATGCTATGTTAGGCCTGTGTTTTTCAAATATGGTGCTCTGTTTTTTCTTCCTTCTTCCCCTCAGGAATCAAAGCACTTTTTCAAAGGACTTAATTTCTGTGCTTTGGAGCTCTTGGGCAACCATTCAATAAAAGCAAAATAAGGAATGTAGTCATGGTTCTAAAAACATTTCACATTCTTCGAACTGATGCCAGTTGTATGCACTGACAGTAATCCCATCTAATCCCCCTCACATTTCATCTTTGTACACCTGCTTCTACCATCTCTCTTATCAATATATTGTACTTAGAACCAGAATTATCCAGGAAGGCAAAGTAACAGAACAAAAAAGACACACATGCTAAATGCGCTGTTATAAATTTGCATTGCAGACAGGTATTAAAGCACATTTGTATTTCAATGCATATAGTTGTCATCTTCTATTAAAATATTTTTCTATTTCTTTGTGTGTGTGTGTGTGTGTGTGTGTGTGTGTGTGTTTGCTTTACTCGGCAGGTTAACCGAAGCACACCGAACAGCTGTCAAAGTCATTAGGAGAATGCAGTATTTTGTTGCCAGAAGAAAATTTCAGGTAAGTAACGCCACTAACAAAAAGATAAATGAAAAAGAGAAGTGTTCATGCAGGATAGGGGATGATAGTGGGCCTGACCAATAAAAACTCTGCAGGTGAAATTTGTCCTTGAGCATATGGTTAATTCGAGGTCTATGACAAAGTCGAATAAACAAGGTCTATTTAAAATCTATTTAAACTCATGCTTGCCTATACAAGGCAAGCATCTTATACAGTTTGAGATGTACTCAGTGGTGTATCTCAAACTGTATAAAGAATTCCCCACAAACATGAAGGACTCCTGCAGAACACCTAAACATTACAGAATTTGTAGAATCAGCCCCAGAGGTATTTTTTATCAATATTTTATGTTCTGCTTTTATTTTCCAGGAAAATTTAAAAAAATACATTTTCTTCCTTTTGAAGATAATTGTTTGACTAGCGGAAAAGACTCCAAAGAAGCTATAAATAGATGTGGTATTTGATGCAATCCTGATTGTCACAGGATTTGATCCTGTAACAAGAGGGCATTCCAGGACTGGTCAAATTGTTGGCCCACCCACTTGCTTCCGGGCAAACCACCTGCCTACCTCTTCTGCCACACCTTGATATTAATACTTTGAAAAGATGTCACTAAAGTGGGAGGCTGCCCATTTACTTGCCCTGGTGACAAGGGCCTTACACACGTCTCCAACCTTCCCTTATCATGTCCCATGCCTCACAGATGTTTCTCCAACTGGCTAGCACCTGGACCCGAGCTCCAGAGTCTCACATGAGCTCTCTCCCCACCAGAGCTCATGGTCGCAGCACCGTCAAACTGTGCTCTTACCTAATCATATTCTGAGATCCAAGCCTCTGGTCTCCAAAACCCACCCCAGGACCTCTGAGCCTGCACACTGGGCCTCTGAGCCCCACCCTGAGCACCTGAGCTCACACCATGAGGCCAGGGCTCCAAGCCCTGTCCCATGCCCCCCTGAGCTATCCCTTATCCCTTCACCCAGGTGCTTCTCTACTAGCTCCCCAAGGCTTAGTGCCCCACTCCCCCTGAAGCCTTACTCCTGGCTCCCTACAGCAGCTTCAGGGCTCACAGTGAGCCTGGACACTGCTTCATGTCCCTCCACCAACCTGGGCCCTGCCTCAGAGCTCCCATGAGTCAAGTCTCCCCCTGCTTGATCTCAGACCACCAGGAATGTGGGGACTGGGGTTAGAAAGCACCCCATACTCATCTTTCACCAGGGAGGTAACTGGCCTCGCACTTCTGGGGGGCTATCCTGCCACAGACAGTCCCACCAGACCACCCTTCCCCATCAGGGTGCAGTTTCAAGTCATACCCAGGACCATGGACCCTCCTCCATCCCCATAGCCCTGCCCTTACCTCCAAGACATTGAGTAGTAGCTCAGCCAATGGCATCTCTCTGGCTGCTGGCCACAAACTGCTGCCTTTGCTGTTCAGGGCCCTGCTCTTGTAAGGCACAGCCAGGTCCTGTTCCCCAATCAGGCAGTGGTGCCTAATTGGGATTGCAAGCAGCTGCAGGCTGTCTTGCTGCTTCTCAGGCTCCTGCAAGTAACAGAGCACCCTGTGTCTGTTATAGACCCACATCAAAACAGGAGTGGAACAGCCATTTACAAATGTAGCTTTTTCAATCTTCATTGCTGTTCCTCTGCTAGTAGGTGGCTGGGGAGAGCACACAACCTGGCTATCTTGTTAGGGAATGACCTGTAATAACCTTACAGATGCACCCCATGATATCTCCAGAAAAAGTGATAGCACATTTAAACTTGAATACTTGAAGCAGGACAGTGGTCTTGTATGTCTTTAGAGTCCCTGGACAAATGTAACATCTGTTTCAGCCAATGTCCTACAATGCAGTAGTAGGTGAATAGATTAAACAGGATGGTCATCCAGAGTATGTCCACATTATGGAGGCAGCATGAATCATTAGGGATGCCCCTGAACATATCCCCCCCTTCCACTCCTAGTTTTTATAGATATAAAATATAACTATTTTTTATAGATATCCTAGCCAGGGGGTCAATGACATATGGCCTTCAAGCCGGATCTGACCCCCAGAGCCACTCCATCTATCCCGCAGAGCTGGGAGAGCTTCAGCATCATTCTGAAGTCAAGAGGTTTTGCCTGCACTCACACCAGGGCCAGGTGGCAAGGCACTGCATTGGTGCTGGGAACTGTGCCCATGTTGGCACTGCTTCCATGCCCCCCAGCTGTGGCACAGGTGAAGTTTTCAATTGCATGGTCCCAGTGTATAAATTATCCATGAAGAAATCTAGACTAGAAATTAGAAGAAGTTTCCAAAACTTCAGAGTAGAAAAATTCTGGAGTAGCTTCCCAGCAGGCATAAAGAGGTTGGAGGGAAACCTTAACTACTTTTGTGAAAGGGATTATATGACCTGATGCCTGTGTTTAACTTGATGACTCAAGAATCCTGTATTCTTTATGGACATGGAACTTAGGCTAAGAAAAACCAGACTCCAGACAGAGTTTGGAAGCTCAGAAAAGGAAAACCTGAATATGAGATGTGTTTAAATATCTATGCTGGGCTATAGTCCAATTTTTAAATAGATATAATGCCCCTGATTTAAGATACATTTAGGGGAAAAGGGTCTAGAACTGGTCAAACGTAGATGGGCTCGAAGGGTTTACCAAACTGCCTTGGGAGTATTCATTACATGATTTTTACTGTATATTCTATTATTTTTCATAACAACTTCACAAGAGGTTGTATTCAGTTTAAACACATTTGTGGAGTCTGTGCCAGATGCTGGCAGAATATAAGCTGTTCTGGTCTAAAAAGTGTTACTGGGAAAACAGAAGGTAAAAGGTGGATGTTAGAAGGATTTTTTTTTAACTTTTTTTTTCAGATTTTAGGTTGGTTTCAGGAAGAATGCAGTGTACATCCTTTAACAACAAAAGGTTTTAGTGTTGATGATTTGGTAGCAGCAGTAAAAGGATTTTTAGGGGAATGAAAAAGGAAAGTTTTATGTGGAATGAAGAGAATTAATTATGCACATGGTAGCCTCTAAGGCGAAAAAAAACCCACTAGCACAGCTAGGCTGTGAGCCATGCATCATGTCTAAATAGAGTGTGTCCAAAAGGAGGAAAGGAGGGTTAGCCAAAATGTTCTCAAAGCACCCCTGCCAGTCAATCTAAAGAGAGATATTGGCACTGGTTCTCTGGGGGAAGACAATAGACTGCTTTTCTGGCCAGAAATAGTGATGTGTCAGCGTCTGCAACAAGCAAAGCTTGAGAAGGGAGGAAAAAAAATAGGCAATAAATTGAAAGCTTGAAAACAAAACAAAACAAAACAAAAACAACCTCCTCACACATGTGGTCCCTTACACAACAGCTACATTTTGTTGAAGGCAATAATGCAGGTAACTTCCCACAGCCAAGTGCTAGGAAAGGATTTTGTCATTAAGACTTTTTGCTCCTTCATTTTACAGGATTTGTTTCCACTCCAATTCCAGGCTTTTATGTGAAATTTCTAGGATCCTGTGGCTGCCTTCCAAGCATGACTCCAGCACATACTGTAGGTGTTCAGTGCATGTGTGCAATGGTGCATGCTAATGGCTTCGGCTGAAGCTGTGGCAGAGTGGAAACAGACAACAAGATGACTAATGAGCTGTTTTCAGTTATTTTCAGTTACTGGATTTGCAGTGTATCTTTTTTTTTTCTCTTGAGCCAAAGCCAAAACGGAGACATCTTGCCCCATATTTCCCACTGGGCTGGGGTGGGTCCAAAAATGTTGATATTTTCTAAAGGAGATTGTTCCCAGTCCCCTCCCCCATTTCTGGGCTGTTTTTCTACCTTTTATAATCACATAATTTAATGCAAATTCTCCAGACTTTTTTTTTTAAGTCATGTCTCAAAAGTCACAGAATTCCAGGGGGAAGTTTAGCAGTCTAAAGAAAGACTGAAGTGAGGGAAACACTAGACTTTATCTTCACTTTTATTTTTATATCTTAATTCTACTTTTTTGCATATAATGCTGTTAAGTAAAGATGGGCCTAACATATGGATCCAAACAGGTTCACATCTTGGGGAAGCATCTGGTAGATATCTAGACCAAAATCTTGACACTAAACATCCCCAAACTTTGGAAGTGTGTGCATCTGAATCCAGTCATCCTAAATTGCAATTATCTTAATATAGTAAGATGCAGAAGTAATGTAATATTATTTTTAAGAAAGGGTGATGAAGATCCAGCCCATGGACTAAATCCAGCTGACAAAGCCATATCATTTGACTTATGGGGCACCCCACAGGACCAGAAATGTGATTGCAAAGGACCAGTGACAGTGTTAATTGAGCCTGATTGGGCCCTCAGACCAATACTGCAACATTCATCCTGCCTGCAGACTGATTCCCCATGTTGGACCCAACAATAGACCAGCCCATGGGGCCAGCCCAGCCCATAGGTGCCACTGCTTTAAAGCAAACATGCAAGTATCGTGAAGAGTTTGCATACCAAGCAATGGAAAATAATTGGTTGGAAAGAACTACCGACCTACTTGGATAAACAAGTACCTTAAACAGGATATTAACAGCAAGCAGAGGCTCTATAAGGAATGGGAAAAGGGTTTGATTAGTAAGGAGAGAGATCTTCCAGTGGTCAAGCATTGCAGAGAGAAAGTGAGAATGGCCAAAGCTTTAGCTAAGTTAGACCTGGAAAGGAATAATAAAAACCCCAGCAGATGCTTTTTCAATTGGATAAATTAAAAGAGAACTTGTAGGGAAGAAATGGGGCTTCTATACATTGAAAATGGGATGGAGATCGAATATAATATAGGTATGTCCCAATAAATATTTTTCATTGGTTTTGAATGATGAAGAAGTAATAAGGATAATAGAGTTGCAAATGGGAATGATAGCATGGTTATGGAAATGACCATACATGAGATCATCATGAGATCATTATTACTATATATGAGGTGCTAGAAGCCAAACTTAGAAGAGTGAAAGAACTGGAAGGAAAGAGTAAATGCACTTAGCTCCACTGAATCTGTCAAATTGGGGATAATACCCTATAATGGGAAAAGAGCAAATGTAGTGCCTATATTTCAAAAAGGGAAAAAGACTGACCCCAGAAATTGCCATCCCACATGCTTGATTGGAACAGCTGCTGAAGGAATGAAAAATCAAGGATATGGAAATCCCTGAAAAGGGGACAAAGTACAACAAGGTTTTATTCAAGAAAGATCTTGTTTTACCAATCTAATGCCCTTCTATGACAGGATTATTGACTTCAGAGACAAGAACAATGAAGTGGACCAAATCTTATGACAGTTGCAGAAAACAAAAATAGGGCAATATTGCCAACACAGAGAAGGGCCACATTATTATAGAGAAAGAATTATATTACCTTGTGTAGCAGAGTATTACAAATGGTACAAATTCTAACAGTATGAAGGGCAGTCAGACAAGGTTCCTTGGGTGAATTTGATATCTTTTATTAGACCAACCCAAATAGTTGGAGAATAGTTATTAAGCAAGCTTTCGAGTTCAAAAACCCTTCGTCAGGCTAAGGAAGTTTCAGCAGTTGGTGTGTGCTCTTCCTGGATGGAATGAAAAGTAAAGAAGCCAGGGGCTGGGCTGGGGAGTCAGTTGCCAGGCAGATTATAGTGTGTCAAAAATCCAATGTCTATGTTTAGTCCATGATCTCTAGTATCCAGGAGGTTGATGAAATGGAGCTCATAGGCTCGTCTCTGGGAAGTGTTGTGTAAGTTTCCCTTGAGGATCAGGACTGAGAGATTGGAGAGAGAGTGGCCCTCTTGTGAGAAATGTGCCCCCACCGATAATTGGGTATTTCTGTCTTTGATGGATTTCTGGTGTGCGTTCATTCTGGTGCGCAGTTGTTGTTTGGTCTCTCCTACATATCTTCCATCAGGGCATTTGATGCATTGGATGAGGTATATCACATTTCTGGAGGTGCAGCTGTAAGATCCTGGGATGCTGATGGCTCTGTTGTGGGGTGTAGTAATAGTGGGGGTGGTGGAGATGTGTTGGCAGGTTTTGCATTTCTTGTCATGGCATGGTCTGGATCCTTTTGGTGTGTTCTGGGCTTGAGGAAGTTTGCTTCTGGTGATGAAGGGCAGTCATACACTGATGGATTAATAACAAGGCCTGTTGCTATAAGGAGGAGGCTTATATACTGCAAGCAATGATGGAAAAGAGATAGATGAATATGCCATTCGATCATAGGGTTCAACAGCATCATATGGTCATGAAAGAGGTTAATGTAATTCTAAGTTATGTTAGGAAAGGAATATTGATGAAGTTCCAGGAAATATTAGTATCACTGTACATGGCATTAGTAGTCCCCTATTTAGACTACTGTTTAAAGTTCTGATCTCCTATGATAGGGATGTCCAACTTCTGAGTGGCCCCCTCACTATGCCCCTCCGTCCTGCCCCTGCTGTGTGGGCTGCCCAGAACCCCACTCCCATTGCCACATGGTCTTCCTTACCATGGCCCTTTCTCCTCCCACTCTGTAGGCCACTTCTCCCTGCCCCCAGGGCTGGGAGCAGAAAAAGAAGCCAGAGGAGGAAGGGAAAACCTTGAGACTCAAACAACGTGAGAAGGGAGTCATGAAGAGAGCTAGCAGCCAGGTGGGACCCTGTGAGCTGCAAGTTGACTGCTCATGGGCTGTATGCACAATCTTCAAGTAGGATGGCCCTGATCTTTATTAAAAGATTGGCTTGCATCCATAGATGCTTCTCAAGTAAATCTCAGTATGTCATCCTCCCACTGTACTCGGCCTTGGTGAGTGAGGCTGCAGTTGGAGTACTGCATCCAATTCTGGGCTTCTCAGTTCAGGAAGGATGTGGAGAAGCTTGGAGTCCAGAAGAGAGCCACACGTATGACCAGAGGGCCAGAGAATAGGCCTTATGAAGAGAGGCTGAGAGCCATAGGATTCTTCAGCCTGGAAAAGCACAGGAACAGGGGTAACCTGGTGGCAGCCTATAAGTACATCAGGAGTGTGCATCAGGATCTGGGGAATGCCTGTTCACCAGAGCACCCCAAGGGATGACAAGGACCAACGGTCACAAACTCCTCCAAGACCATTTTAGGCTGGACATAAGGAAAAACTTCTTTACTTTCTGAGCCCCCAAGGCCTGGAATAGGCTCCGTCCAGAGGTGGTGCAAGCACCTACTCTGGACTCCTTTAAGAAGCATTTGGACACTTATCTTGCTGGGATCTTTTGACCCCTCCTGACTTCTTGCCCTTGGGGCAGGGGGCTGGACTTGATGATCTCCCAAGGTCCCTTCCAGCCCTAATGTCTATGAAATCTATGAAAAAAAGAATTTGATCTAGAACAGGTATAAGGAAGGGCTTCCATGATGTTCAGGAAATGGAGAACCTACATTATGAGATGTGTGTTTGGTTTGTTTATTTTAGAAAGTTGAGTGGGAATACGATTGCTTCTTATATATAGTTTATGTATATACTTTTGCAGGGTGACTATCATGAAGAGAAAAAAAGAGCTATTTAGTTTACAAATAAATTTAGACTGGAAATAAATTTAAATAGACTAAAAATAAAGTGTTTATAAACAAATTTGAACTGGAAATTAAAGTATCTGTTTTTTTAGAAGAGCAAAGTTTTGGAATACTCTTCTGAGAAAAGTAATGAGGGCAAAGAACCTGAATCACTTCAAGGCAGAGCCTAAGAGTTAATGGAAAGGAAAGTATGATAGGGATGAGGATGGTCTTGGATCAATAATCAGCATATGTGATATGTTATAGCTGTATAGCATATGCTAATTTAGCTATCACATATATAGCATATGCGATAGCGAAAGTATTTCTTATCCTCAGGTTTGAAAGATAATGTGCTCCATATGGAATATGTCTTCATCAGACATCTTCAGGGCTTCTGCTGAGTGCCTGTAGGGACTATGAAGAAAGTTTTTCCTATACAGAGTAGCTCCAAGGTGCCTAATTAAAAAAGATTTAAAATCCACTTTGTGTCACAAGAAAAGCAGGGGACATAGTGACAACTTTTATGCCTTGGCAGCTACAATAGTAAAGAATTGTCTAGGATTATAATATTTTTCAGTTCTTACAGAGAACATCATCAAAAAACCTCTTGAGGATTAAAAAGAAAGTCTATCTGATACATATGAGTGATGTAAAAATAAGCATTATCTGACACTTTCATTTTACTCCTTTTGCAGCAAGCCCGGAAACCATATGATGTACGTGATGTAATTGAACAATACTCTCAAGGACACCTCAATATGATGGTCCGGATAAAAGAACTTCAAAGAAGGTAGGCCCCATCTACTTGATCCAATGTTTGATTTCTCTGGTTTCAGCTGCCTTGAGGAGAGATGCATGGTTAATGAACTGTAATGGTAAAAAATTTCAAGCACAACGGGGAATATAATATCTAGGGGATTTGATTTAGAGTCACATTTTAATCTGTTTTATAACCAAGGCTCCTACTTCCCCTGCACACAAAAAAGAGAAAAAAGGTAAAGGAAAATCATGATATGATCCATGAAATATAGCACAGGAAGAGAGCATTTCTGCCTAGTTCTTACAAAAGAAAAACCCTTTCTGCCCCCTCTGTACCTTTACAGTCAGAAGAAATCCCTGTTTTACTAGTGGTGCCCTTTCTGTCTGGTATGCTTCTTCTTCTCCTACCCCTCCTACTCTCTTCCCCATCTCTCCTCACCCCCTTCTAACACATTTTCCATGAGCTATTGAATCATCACTTCTTTTTTTTAGCTTACACTTAAGTTTTATCTTTGTAAATCAACAATGAGCACTGAGGACATCAAAATCAGATTATTTAACCATTGAAGCAGTAGCCAAACTCCTGTTGAGCTGGATTAGTTCCACTGTATCCAAATTTATTTTTTCAACTCTCTCTATGGAATTTAAGGAAGAGTTACAAATATTACTGTATTTAGTGCAAGGCTAAATTGTAGAATCCTTGTCTGCCACACAGGAGAGCTGGGTTCAATTTCCGGTTGCGTATATAACTACAGCCATCCAAACACCAAATGTCTGGACTCCATCTGCCCTTTGGATACTGTCTCAATGGTCTGAAAAGGGGGTGGAAAGTCTGTCTCCATACTCCTGCCTAGGCATATGCATTGAAGGTCCTGGTGACTAGGGGTGTGCGAAGTGGACTGTATTCGATTCAGATTCGGATTCGGCCCAAATTGGGGACAGTGATTCAATTCGTTGATTCAGATCACTGTCCCCCGTTCAATCCAGCTGAATCTGAAGATATGATGCTGATTCGGAGAATCAGCAATTCGGCCATAGACACAGCTTTAAATGTTTTTTCTACATACCTCAAGGTACTAGGTGCAGCTTGTGAACACTGCGATGGTGGGGTGCATGCAGCATCCCACAGGAGCATGGGGGGGCCCCACGCATGCTCAGCAGTGAACCTGGAAGTGGACCGGACGTACTTCCAGTCCATTTCCGGGTCTGCCACTGAGCATGCAGGGAGCCCTCCCACACAACCCTCCAGCTTGACAGTCATCCCCGGGGGACCCCGGGTTCCCCCCAGACCCAGGAGGAACCAGTTGCCGAGTCGGGGGTGTGTGGAGGGGCCCCCCAGCACACTCCCCAGCAGACCAAGAAGTGGACTGGGAGTACTCCTTTTCCACTTCCAGGTCTGCTGCCGAGTGCACTGGGGAGCCCCCCATGCTCCTGTGGGGTGCTCCATCCACCCCACCATCTCAGTGTTCACGAGCCGCCTGGTACCTGGAGGTATGTAGAAAAAACATTTAAAACTGCATCTACGTCCGAATCGTCAGATCTCTCCAAGTCAATTCAGAGGGTTCCAATTCAATTTCGAGGGATTAAAGGGTCTCCTCATTTGATTCAGATTTGAGATTTGGCCACTGAATCGGGCCAAATCTCTGCCAAATCAAATCGGGGACCGAAGCTTCACATGACCCTACTGGTGACCTTTCACACATACACCATGATGAAGAAGGATAGATGGTTTCATACAACTGAATTGTTTTAGTTATAACATGAAAACAGAATAAATAGAATAAAGTTGAAATTTTATTCCACCAAATTACAGTACATAAAGGAGGCCAAACTGCTGACTGTTTATATCTAGGAAATGATGCCAGAATTTTTCATTTACTTTGCTGCTAGTTTCAAACTACTGTTCTTTTGCATGTAAAATGGATCTGTGTGCTGTTCCAAGTTGCAAACAATAAGTTGTTTAATAATTCTGCAGCTGGCAAACTAAAATGATCCTCTGTTTGCTTTTCAGACTGGATCATTCCTTAGGGAAGCCTGCTCTTTTCCTTCCAGGTATGGTGACTGTATTGTAAGATGAATGGTTCTGTCACTTAAGACTAATATAGAACAACTGTAGTGTTCAATCAGTTGCTAGATGCAGCTAATGAATGCTGTGTAACTATGTAATGATTGCTACCTGACATTCAGGTAGTGCTGCTGGAATTAAACAGAAAGCGACCATAACTGCTAAGAAAAGGTACCATGGCACAGAGGCCTGGACACTTCTTTTAGTATGTGATTTGTCATACTGAATTGCTTCCTAAATTGTTGATGGCTTGGCTTAGGTAAACATACTACTTACACTTTCTTACACTTAAAGCTTTCTTCCTTTTGAAAGATTCTATAAGTTTGGATTCTCTAGGTTTTGGATGAAATTTTCAAAAGAACTGAAGTGTCTTAGGACATGTGCATACAACCCCAAGTAGCTTTGTCACAAGGCTATCTCTGATTTGGGAACTACTATGCACCAAGCAGGTCAGGTGTACCTTAGAACAGGGGTTCTCAAACTGTGGGTTGCGACCCCCCTGGGGGGTCGTGAGCAACTTAAAAGTGGGTCACAAACTTCTCTTCCCCCGCATCGCACAAACACTCTGCCTGCTTCCCTCTTCCAGCAACAACGCATGTGTTATTGGACTCACCCACACTGGAAGTGTCTCTTGTTTTCTAATCTCAGCATGTATGGGTTAGTGAAGCTCAATGTTTATCTGTCAACAGTTTAATTGACTGCATGCGATTGAGTGCGAGTTTTCCCTTTGCAACATCCTACATGTGTAAATCAGGGTTTTCAACAGTTGCTGCTATAAAGAGCAAATACTGATCAAAAATAAATGTGGAGCACGAAATGATACTGGTAGTCTTGAAAATAAAGCCCAGGTTTGAAAAACTAAGCAGTACCAAGCCAATTCATTCCTCTCATTGAAAACTATTGGGTTTTAAATTTGACAGTGTTTTTTTTTCAGTGAAATAGTTTGGAATTTGATAAACTTTATAAAAAGTGTTTTTTGACAATTATATTTCATTTAATATACAAAGGTAAATGTGCTTTATTTATCCCCTGCCTAAACCTAATGAAATCAATAGCTTTAATCATGGGGGAGTCACATAAATTTGTATATTATTTTACAGGGTTGCGATATCACAAAGTTTGAGAACCCCTGCCTTAAAACAAGGCTGCTTTGAGGAGTATAGACATATTATTAGGAGCCTACGTTCTGTTTTCCCAAGTGAGGTTTGGCACTCAGCAGCATCAGTTTCCCTAACACTCATAGGGACTTTCAACCCTGCGTACCTAAGCCACCTTTGAAAATAGTATTTGGACTCCTAAATCACTTTAATGTCTTTGAAAAATGTCTTGCAGGACCTGTGATGAAAATGGGGAATATTATCAGAACCAGTATTATCTCCTAAAATGGGGTAAACTCTGACCACTATCAAATTGTAGCTATAACTCACATAGCATCAAGGTGAAGATATGGTTGGGGTTTTTTTAGACAGCTTTTTGTCTCTAAGCTGCAGGAGGAGAGGGACATTTGAATGTAAAGGGCATAACTGAGAAATAATATTCCAGGGAATTTCTAAAGCTGGATGTTTTCTCTGCATACTTCATTAAGCAGCAGGTCCTAGTGGAGATACTAAGAAAATTTAGTTGCTAAATCTTAGGTCAGACAATTTATTTGGATGATCCCAAATAATTTTGTAGGTTTGAACCAGTGTTTAATTAGAACAGCATAATGCTATCACCAGCTCAAGGGACTGTAATTGGTAAATGGGCCAGCAAGGTATGAGTGCACTTGCAGTA